AAATAATAATAATAACATAAATCATAGGTCACTGCAGCCTACAGGTATGTCGTGTGTAGCTAAATTAATTTGTTGTGCTCTTCGTGCCAATGCACATGATTCTTACCTTTAACGGGTTTTTAGTTACGTTGTCCATGTTAAACGTGATTGTCAGCTTGTTGTCCGTTTCGAAGACGTATTCTATGCCAGCCTTGGAATAATTTTCGGGCATCCTGTCGACCGATACATAAAAATAAATTCAATGGTACGAGTATTGTGAAAAACGTCTACTGTTTTGGGTGTCGATTATGTTATTATCAATTGCATTACCACGGCCAATCCGGTACAACGTGTTTGGAATTGAAAGTGTAACAAAATCCATATTCGGTAAATACTGGCTCAAACCCCAAACAACAGTTGTATGGTTCGCCTTTGAACGTGCAGTCGTACAGTAAGTCCTCGCAATGATATACTACCTATGCGTCAAACATTGCAGTAGTTGTAAGTTGTTCTTATATTAGTTATATATCTATAGTAGCCAGTTTCTAGTATAAAATAAAGCGAAATATTACTTGGTATGCTAAATCTTTGAACTTATCCTTTGGTAGCCAATCGTATTCAGAAAACTGTTTAAACATTTGGACGTTATCGTAAGAGAACGAAGCTACTTCGTTAACAAATTTTAAAAATATCTCCGCTCGCTCATTTTCTGTGTTATTATCGTACACACTAAAGAAATATCAATTTAAAACTGTAATGCACAATAATAAAAATTTATTTTACCGTACTTAAAAAATGGCACATGTCAATGCGGCATTATACTGATGATTGATAAGGAACAATCAACAATATTTTACATTTTAAAGAATTATGCAGTAGTACCTACAATTCATCAAATCTCGTAAATCATTGTTTATTTGCTGCAGTCCACAATAGTTCAAAATTCAAATAAATAATAATTACGTACAACCGTATATTTATTTGCGATACATACATCGATGAAGTAGCCTTGTAATTAATTAGATAAAATAAATGCATATATTATGTATATAATATATACATTATACAATAATATACAGCAATAGAAACATACAATTTCTGTACTCTAAATACAAGTTACAAATACCCCTTATACCCTATTTATTATAGAAATACTTGGGTTATAAATTTACAATATAAAAATCTGTTTACCTCGTTGCGTAATCCCATACTTTTTCATCGGAAGTTGGTCGTTTAGGACATACCGTTATAGCTGGAAATTGTACGTCCCAGCTGTGAAAGTCCGTATCTAAACCAGTGATGGTCGGACTTGTTTGAAACTTCTCCCAGAGCGATATTATAATGATAGAAGTGACAACGATCCCCACAGATAAAAAACTAAACCACATGAACCTATAAAAAAAAAATATTGAAATATGTAAGTCTTAAATACGAATATTTTCTTTTAAAGTATAATTATTTTATCATTTGTAAGCAATTTTCGTTGCTCTAAAGAGTTTTAATTATACAATGTGGCTATAATATTGTTAATGTCATACATTGAATTACAATTGGACATTTAAAAAATGAGTGATATGCATTTAAATTTTAAAGGTTTAGAAAACGTACCATGTAAGTTTATGGCATTAGGCATAAGCGGAATTTGGGGCGAGATGATGCACTTTTTCGATGATATTATTTGGGGAAGGAGGGACTTTTGCCCCTTCCGACACCAGAAAACTGGGTGTGAGATGTAGAGAGAACAATTTGTAACTTATGAGTGTACCTAAATTCCAATACATATGCAATAATTTTTTACTCATTTAACTATGTGTAGTGTGTACTTGCTACTTAGCACTTACTAAGGAAATTGGAAAATGTAAGGTCCACGATAATGGATGATTTAAAAATGTTAGTGATTAATACCAATCTACCGAAATTATAATAATTTGTAAAAATAGTCCAAGTTCAATAAATACTAGATCCATATGATCCTGTAATATTACATCTATTTTATAATTTTGTAAAACTATTTTTAAGGACTATTACCCTTATTCCTTATTAGCATAAAAAATGTAATAACAGAGAAACTACTCATTCAAATTTTGAATTAAGTACCTACAACAACATTTTCGAGAAAAATGTCCATTAAATAACTTACAGTAGAAAAGGGAACCTCAACTGATGGAAACAAGTTTGTATCACCACGGGGCTCAAAAAAACAGTTCAAGTATTTGACAATATTGTCTTTGAGTTACTTATTTATAGAAATTCCAAAAATCAGAATTTTTATGAAAAATGTATTGTTAAAGAAAATAATGAGAGTGAATCGCACTGTGCAATGAATTTATTTACATTTTTACATTGGATATTTTTTACTCAGTCATCGGTTATCAATGAGACGAATGGTTAAATTAATCAAATTAATGTAAATACCGTTCGTGAAGTGGTCGATCGCTTTGTGCTATATATCTAACGCCATGTAATGTGCTGTGGTTAAAAAATTCGTTGAACTGGAGACGCATGCTGGTCTTCAATAATTTTGTTTTCGACGCTTCAACTTTTTCTGTGTTAGTCAAACCGTCAAACATTGTTAATGTTGTTTCCCCGACACTATACTTATAGTATTGCAACGAGCAGGCACGTCAAATGTGTTTATGTACAGCAGGCATAATGACTGTGAAAATTCGAAAAAGTTATCTCTGTCAATCTGGCGTGTACGAAACATATGCTCAAATTATTGGTGTCGAACAAGGGGTATATGTACTTATACATTATTATTGATTTATTTTGTGTATAATGTTTGTCACGGAGAACAATTATTACGGCTATATTATGTATGAGGTATATACAGTTTACCTCCGATAGTTTACCTCAAATTAAAACTAATGGCATTGCAAATATTCATCGGTAAAAAAATACTCTATTATATTTGAATATTTGATTTAAAGCTTTAATCCTTTAACTTTACCAATTACCATGACTTGACTGAAAATAACACAAAAAAATTATCTTATTTTTAAAAGAGCTGCTTGTTAGAATTTCAAACACAATTCGTATCATATCTCAGGATTTAGATTGAGATACTATGAGATATTATATCGTTTTTTAATATTTGGATAGAATTAATAATATTACAATTTACAGTAATCTATCGTATTATCTGGTGTCTGGTAATTAACTTTAATATTAATATCTTTTTATAAAGTTCTTGACTTAGTAATATTACAGAATTACATATCGGTCACTATATTTTTACTCACTACTTTTTTCATACGCGATACTACTAATAACTATAGAACAATAATCGTCATCATTAATTACCTACTAAATTACAGCAATAAATTAATATATATTATTCGCTGGGTTAAGATGTTTATGATAGTATATATATTATTTTTCTTTTAACCACGAACATTGCAGACCAAGTTAGAGTAGAAGCAGTTCAATTAAATTTTATTTTTGGTTTTTATATTTTCTGCGTTGTTTTTTTTTTAACAAATATAATTTTTTTTAAACAATTTGTCGTTGTTCTTAAATTTTAGGTTTCAAAGAACATTTTTTTAAATATTAAGTTTTTTATTAGGTGTATATATTTTGTACATGTGTTCGTTCGCGCTACTCAAGTGACAAGCGTGTCATTCATGTTTTTACAGAGTTACAACTCCCTCGAATATAAATTGTTTAATTTCTATTAATAATCTATTATAATAGGTATTTTGTATTGTGAGGTACATTTTGAATGAATATTGAACAATGGAAACCAGCATTTTCTACGTTTTTATGTTAAATTTATATATTATGCATAGTATCATGTTTTATTGTTTTAAGGGCATACTTAGATATTTCTTGGACATATTCGCATGAATTTTTTTTTTTAGTTTTTAAGGTAAAACCACTTGTGTTAGTATGGTTATAACTGGTGTATCGAGGATTCATTGATATTTACACATAAATAATAAATATATATATAATATATGTGCTTAAACTAAATAACAATTGTTTATTGAAATTAAATCTTTTTTTTTTTGTATAATTATAGCTCAACAATTGCATCACATTAAAACATTTAACAGTACAATATAAAGAACAAAAGTAAAATCATAATAATGTTTAATAGTTGAATAATACTATTGAATAAATTACATATCTAAAAACTAAAAATAATAAACTAATATATCATATACCTATTGAATGAATTTTCAATAGTATAGTTTTTGTAATTGTTAAAAACAATATATTTTCATCCATTCATTAGGAAAAAACAGTTTATTTTGTTAATTAATTTAGCTACATTTTTTCTCTAAACATTTTAATATCACACAGTTGGGTATTATTAACATACGTCACTGTATATAATATGAGCCTTCACGTTCATTCGTTATTCCTGTCTCCAATCCCTTCACTCTATAATTAGACTCACTCCCCCACCGCAAAACGCGTCAACGCCAGTCCTTGGACGTATATAAAAACAAATATAGAATTTCTTTAATTTGTTTATTTTCCTGTCCTTTTTTTGTAATTGTTTTTACACGAAAAGGTTGATATTTATTATTTTGTGTGCAGTTTGGCAAAAGGCGACTTTAACGACGGAGGCGTATTTGCGTACTGCATAATTTATACGGAGACTTTTTTTTTCAAATCATATATTTTCTTTTCGTCGTTTTCGGGATCGGTGGAAGGGACGCGGGTGTATACAGCGGTGAGTCGTGTGTTCCAAAATTAAACTTCAGCCAAATGGATCACCGACACGGCTGTGTCTAGAGTATACAGTTTAGTGTACACCGCGCCGTCATCTCGTCGTGTCGCTCTTTTGACTGCGCTGTACCGCGAATCAGCATGACGACGGCGCAATGTTTTCGTCGTTAAAGTTTTCCACGCTGCGGTCGAAGAAACACACGTCTCCGAAGCAAAGCGCGCAGCACCGGAAGTCCACGAGCAAATGTAAGGAGCCTACACGTGAGCAACATTATTGTATACGTTCGAATATATATATATATATATATATATATATGTATATGAGCAGTCGACGCCGAATATTCACGATCGCTTTCTCGTAATTATTCATTTTAGGGCTGCTGGACAAGGTGTGTTCGGCCCGGAAGAGTGAAGACAAACGAATGGTGTCCAAGCACGCGATTTACGAGTCTAGCACCTACACGGATCAATGTACGGGTATATCTGTAGACTATATTTAATACTTATAATAAAATTATGACATTGTTTATGACTCCTGATATATGCTTTAACTATAAAGATCTGAATATAAAAAATAAAATATACAATAGACCTGCGGGCTGCAATAGACGCGACGATTAATAAAGAATACATAGATAAATTAACTTCAAAGTATAATATACGCACTCTGTTAACGCGTTATCCTCGTAAAAGTCTAAATTATTTAATACTATGTAGCTATTATTATAGTCAGTTACCTAATATTTAATTATTAATGGAGCTTCGCATGGGTAGTGGTGTAATGGTAGTGATGTAGCTATATAGAACTGTAAAGGTGTTTTATAAATATAAAAATATTAAGATCACGACGAAAGAGCATTTTAGATATTTGGTATATAGGGTATATAGGTAAGTTGGTAGGTACTTTATTACAATTTTAAGTCATAAATATTTAAAATAGGTAAATAGGGAATAGTATATTGTATATATGACAATTGAAAAACGAAAATCATAAAGATTCCAATGAAATTATCTAGCTATGAATTGAGGCATATGTAATCATTTGGAAAATTAATAGGACTTGAATTATTTAGGATAGTGAAACTGGTAGAAAACACATCTACATCTTTGTTTTCATAAAAACCCTAGTTTCTTATAACTTGATGGGTATTTTAGTGTATACGCCTTTAGTCTTAATTTTCAGATCAGTATGTGAAACACAAAATCATCGATGTGTTCATCGAACGGGAAGATGGTAGTCTCGGGATAGTGCTGCGTGGTGGTGCACATCCGGATCCTGACATGTGCAAGCCTTTGACCGTGACACACGTCAGACCCGATGGACCCGCAGACAGGTTAGTACCAATTAAAACTTAAATTGATTCCAGATTATAGTTCAAACAATGTAAATTGATGGAAAATTAATAACTCATCATAATTTATAATAATAAATAATGTTATCATATAATCAGTGATCTGGCTGATATCGGGACTACCTATGTGTAAAATGTAGTTGGCGAGCCTCTATTCGGAGTCGTGTTTTGGTGTTACTTTGGGGGCTTCGATTTTATAGTCTGATTTTATCGATGAACCTGGGTGACTGGATGAATAAATGAAAACAATTCGTTCCAGCTAACTAACCAATTAATTCCATCATTTAATAAAATGGATATTGTAATTAATAAAAACTAATCAATTATTAATACTAAATCCGAAATATGTAATAAACATTGACCTCACTGGTGGAATAACAGTTCATATTGTACCCTATATGGCTATATGGCTATGTCCCTATGACCCTATGTCCCTACCTAACTGTGGTTCTTTCAACATCTATATTTTATCACTGTCCTTCTCTCCCACGCTATAGTATATTATATATTTAAAATTTAAATTACTTTTTTTCTTCCACTGAGCTAAAATGTTCCTCTTTCCAGTTTCCTCCAATAATGTCATCACAATAAAATCCATCCTTAATTTTATCCATCAAATTGGTTTAAAAATCGATGTGTCTATGTGCCTTACACAGTTACACACCACGATCTGTTCATTTCTGTTATTAATATCTTTATTTTTTTTCTCTTGCATTTAGTCCCTCTCAAAATAATAGTTACAAGATGCAATTATTTCTATTAAAATCTCATTGAATTAAAAAAAAAAAACTATCAACCACCAATAATCGCTCAATAATTTATTTATTCCGATCGACCGTGGGAATATCATAAATGCTCAGGGATCTATGCGACGTACGGTCAATTGGTCGTATGAAATTGATTTCCAGCAATTGGTCTGAGACTTATCAAACTGAAGTATACGACAAATTTGTACCACGGTCAATTGACGAATAACTCGTTCTGGGTGATAGCTCAACGTGAATTTCCTTCAAGCTGGCCCTGCATATATTAACCAGATCTATCCTGCTTATACATATAATATTTGAAATATAAACGTTTTTAATTAAGGTATTAATATAAAGAAATAGACTGTACAGAACATTGAAATTTCAGTATTTAATTGATATAATAATCGTAGAAGCAATAAGCATATACAAATATTATAATTGCTAGCTTATTGACCAAATAACAGTTCTAACGTTTTTACACAAGATGTAACCGAATAACTTTAAAATGAAATAACTTTTGTACCAGTTAATATAATTTTTTTTATATTAATGGACGCTATAAGTTCTGTATAAAGTTGTTGATTTTCATTTACGGAAGATAAAAATTATAAGTGTACTACATACTATGTAGTATTCTAATTAAATTCTTTTAGAAAAAATTTGAAATAACCAATTTGTAAATCTAATTATTAGAAAAATGATGGTAAAAAGGTTTATTTATAAGTCAAGTAGTTTATTTTTATTTTTTAAAAATATCAATATTTTTTTAAGTAAATTAATTTTAAACATAAAAACTTTTTTTTATATATTCTTTTTGGAAATTATCGGACTTAAGTAAATCTTAAATTATTTATTATCCATACAAGATAATCATAATTGTTCATATTTTAACTATTGACAATTTTTATTTTTCATTTGTCAGGTCTTTCTGTTACTCCTTGTACAGTTATAGTGTAGTTTGTAACTACAACTTAAGTTATTAAATAAGTGAAATAATTTATGTTTAATACATTGATTTAT